TTTCAAGTGTATCAGTTCAGCTTATCATTTGTTTTTGGGTAATTCTAACAGCTTAGTTGATTTTGGACTAAGAATTGTTGAAAAAAAATGTAAACATTTAATATGTGTGTGTTTTTTTTGTATGTAATGTCAGAATGTCAGAGGGATATAATGTCAGAAAAACACACTGGTAAGGCTCATGCTGGTATAACCTAATAATCCTGACCAAATATTTAGCATTTCAAACTTAGCATTCCAGGAAATTTATCCACCCTGTTACATGGCATTTTACAGTGCAGTGTAAAAAAAAATATTTAATTAATTTTCTTGTTTCATTATTTATTTTATTTTATTTCAATATTTTTATTTTTATTTTATCTCAAACAGAGCAACATTGTGTAACAGGGTGGGCCTTAACAAGGTAGACATTTAAGCTAATAAAGCCCATTACTAGCTTGGAAAAAATAATCTAGCAGAAGATTAACATGAACACACAAAAAAACGCCAGTCTCCCTTCTCTGCAGAATGCGATATATCCGCTCAACAAATAATAATAATTTTGATGAACCTGTGGTGGTTTCTGCGGTGGGGAAGAAACGTAAGCTATTAATAAGATTAGTATTGACCAAGTTCAGAGGCTGTCATGTGGATCAACTTACTTTGTTGTGTATTTTCAACAGTTTCAATATGAAAAATAACTTGATTGAATGGATTTATTGCATTTTGGGGAAAAATATTCAGTTTTATAAATCTTTGAAAATCTAAATCTGGATTTGAATTTTTAATGTTATTATAACCTAAAGACGCTATGTGAAAGTTTGAAACAGAAAATAGTGGTTTTCATCTTGCTACTTTTCTTGGTAAAAATTTTTACTCAAATTAATCAAAATGGATTTATAGCGTTTTGGAACCAAACTCTTCAATCATACTGATACTCCAAATTGCTAATTTAGAAATGTGTATCCTTTATTTGAAAGTGAAGTTTGGAAAACATAATTGGGTACGTGGGAATTTTACTTTCAAGTGTTTTTTTTTTTTTTTCTATTTTTAAATACTTATTAGGTACTAATCATAAAATATGCAGTATTGTTTTTTGGGCAGAGAAAATCCACCAAACTCTCAGAAAAAAAAGGGAACGAAAGCTGCCTTTGGGGCAGTACCTTTTTAAAAGGTACAAATGTGTGCCATTTTACACTTTTTTGCTTTTTTTCTGAAAGTATAGGATGATTATTTTCCCCATGCAAGTCAAAATCTAAAATGTTTTGCCAGCATTACTGTCATTAATATGTCAAAGATTGATTTAAATCTACATTTAAAACATTGCTTCTGAATACTTTTACAAATTCTATCTAGATGATAAAACAGGTACAGAGTCACATACAGTTATCAGATTACCATAGAAACTTGCACTCAGATTGTCTTTAGAAAATCTAAAAGTCTGGTTTGTTTTTAAAATGCAATTTCTGCCATTTCCGAAGTGTGTGTGCTTCCCTTTAATATCCGATTATTTCCTCTTGTAAGACAAATGGATGAGTGAAATGTCACCCATGGTGTATTTTGTGGGCCTAAAAGCCGATGACAACGTCATAGCCGATCGTTTATCTTACTCTCCTCACTAGAGACCAATGAAGTCATTAGTCACTGCAGTACTTAGTCCATTTACAGCTTTTAGCAAAAAAACAAAACAAAACAAACCTGAAGATGTGGCATATTGGTTAAAGCCCGGGGCTGGAAGTCAGAAGAATGCCAGTTCGATCTCCACAGGGAATGAACCGTCAGTCGTCACCATTGTGAAAAACACCCCATCTCATGTTGCTCCAGTGGGATTCCCTATAATAAATGCTGTGACACTTGCTTTGGACCAAAGTGCCAGCTAAATGACCTTGTATGTGTGAAACTTGTGACTGTGCTTGATTCTAGCTTTAGGTTCCAAGGCACTTAATTCCAGCACATTCATCCTGCTCATCCACTTTCATTTCCTCAGATCCACTTTGGATAAAGTCTTCTCTCAGATAGATTTCACATATTTAATGACCAGAGGAAAGTGCTTGGGTGACGGCCTGCAATTTTGTTGTGCTGTATGAAGATGTGGTGCAGTCAATCAGCACAAACAAATCCTCAGCAAATGCCTGATGTCAGCAAACTGTAGGAAGATGTTTAGAAATGTAAGAGTCAAATGTTGCTCAGAAGATGTTATTTCATAGGAGTTCTCAGTTTTGTTTATATACAGTATCAACTTTGTATATGATTTTTCTCCCGGACTTCCATTAGGGAAATAAAAATCAATTAGTCTCTCTTTGGAATCTCTTTGGAAACTGTGGATGAGATATTTTCTCAAGAAAAAAACATCTGAGAAGCAGGAGATGTGGCCAACATTCCTATTTGCTCCCAATTAATATCAGTTTTCCTTTATGCATTTGCCAGATTCTTTTATCCAAAGCAACTTACATTGCATTGAAGACATTTTATCAGGTTACGTATTCCCAGGAATTTCAGTTCTGTTTAAGAGATTTATTTATTTATTTATTTATTTATTTATTTGTCTTCGTCACAGTAGAGCATACTGTAAAAATATCCAGAAAATAGTGCACGATGTACTGTTTTATTATAAAGGAATTTTCTGTATTGATTATTGTCATATTTTTACAGGTGTTTTAACTTCATTGTTTTGTGTTTTACACAGTGTTGGGGAAAGTTACTTTTAATGCATTACAATATTGCATTACTCCCCAAAAAAGTAACTAATTACGTTACTCAGTTGCTTTTTATGAAAAGTAATGCGTTATGTTACTTTTGCATTACTTTTTAAATCTGAGCTGGGCTTGCTTGTATGTTTTTTATATTTAACAAAAGTTCTATTTTTAGCTGTTAGTCAATAAATGGCATTACTAGCATTACTTATTTGAAAAAGTAACGCAAATATTTTCTTGTAAATTAAAAGTAATGCATTACTTTACTAGTTACTTGTAAAAAAGTAATCTGATTACTTAGCTTGCGTTGTTTGTAATGCGTTACCCCCAAAACTGGTTTTACAGTTAATGGAAATGTCCTTACAATTTATTACATTTTAATTAAATTAATTAATTTGTTCGTTTATTTATTTATTTATTTTTTTTAAGTTTAGCACTAGAATACATGAATACATTCTGAGAATACATGAAGTGATGAAATGCATAGCTTGAATATGCTGTTACTTTGATTCCCCCCTTAGCATTCCTGTAAAATTTGCCTAAATATACAATGTTCCGCGGGTGGTACAGTGGAATGCAAACAGGTTAAAAGAGTCTTTTAAATGTAAATGTGTTTTTTCTTTGCTGTTGGAGGACTGTTTTGTAGCCTTCTCCTTCTCCTGAAGGTTACAAGAGAACATTAGACCTATATTCTTATCTGAACTGTATCTTTATGCATTTCTCGCTCAGGAAAGCCTCCGGGAATGGAGGGTAATCAAATTCTGGTGCATGTTACCACAGTCCAAGGTGTTCCTGCAATCCTTTCCATGAGACCACAATTGCCTGGTGAAAAAACACAAGTTTGCCTGATGTGCGCCAGATGACTTAGAACTCGTGTTGAAAAAATAAGTGTTGAGCTGACAGTAAAAATATGACCAGATGAACATTTTTTGCCTGCATTTGAAACTGCCTCTCAGGGTCACGTTCTTCATAAACTGTAGTTTATGTCCTGCAAGCACAAGTCTCATGGAAGCAACACTGTGAAAAAATTGCAACGCTATAAAGAATGTGGAAAAACAGACACAATTGAAGATCTTGGTGTGGGCTGTATAGATGTTTATATATATATATATATATATATTTATATATATGTTTATATATAAATAAAAGAAAGGTCTTCAACATTGATATCATGTGGTTATTTCTTCCTCAGAGTGTTTAAAGGAGATGAAGACCGGCCAACCCTTTCAGTCGTGATGGGCCGGTATTTGCTGAGTCTTTTTGTTTAGTGCCAAATTAGGTTGGAAAAAAAGTCAGTACCAGGAGGAGTACAGTCAAAAAGTCTTTTGTTAGATTCACTTGATTGCCCTCATCCAGTTATGGCCAGCTGCTGCACTCTTCAATAATTAAGAGACTTGTTTTGCTTTATATGTGCAAGAAGTTTTGCATACATGGTACTTTTTAAATATGTAATGAATTGTTCTTTTATGGTCATGGAAGAAATGTTTAAAAAGTAGGGTCTGGCTCTGACATACTCTCTCTTCCTGTCCCCTCCATGTCCTTGGAACCAGTGGCAAATTCTCAAAAATCTTCTTAAGACAGTCACAGAAGTTAAGAAATGTCAAAAGATACAGTAAATTCCATGACATTTGTAAGAATGTTCTAAGTGCAGTTCTTTAGAAGCTCTCATATATTTTCTGAAGAACATGCACGCCTCTGTGTTTGTATGGCGGTTTATGATGAATTTTTAATTTTAAACAATAAATTCATTTAACGTCTTACCTTTAGGGTTTTAAGACAAGTTGGAAGCTATCCTTCACTATAATTGTTTTTTTTGTTTTTTTTTGTGAATAAAACAATGATTAAGTATGTTTTACAAGAATGATATTTAAGAAGATTCTTTTCAAGGATTTGAATTCTAAAGTTTTGTCTTAAGAACAACCTTCAGAAAAAAAAATTTTTTTTAAACCTTTTTCTTAAGTTAGAAAATAAGAAAATAGTGGTTAAAAAGAAGTTCTAAAGAATGTTTTGTAAATCTGGTCCCATGTCCCATATCCCAGACCTGTCCAATCCTGGACTCCAGTAAAATGCAAAAACATTTATTCAAAGCAAACTCTCATCCATTTGACAATATTGGACTTTATCTGCTTATAGTTGATAAGTCTTGATTCAATTCATGAAAATGCTGTTAAAATCTGCTTTGCATATTTGACTTTACCTTGAAATAGGCCTGGACATCCTATGACGTGAAACTGAAGGACTGAGCTGTAAATTATGAGTCATTGAAATGCTGCTAATTATTGATTTCACATTTGACACTATATTTTCAGCTGACAGGTCCAGGGCGCCCTGTTCATTCACTTGCCAAGCTTAATGTGGCTCAAAACCTAGTGTGTTGCCTACCCAGAGAGCATCATTTCCGGGCATCATAGATTACTACAAAATACCATGTCTGAAATCCATGATGTCCACAACTGCTACAGCGCGCCAATGATGATTAAAAGTAGTCTGCTGCCTACCTAAAAAGCATATCTGGGAATCATCTATGTGTACGCATATAGGCTATTGCACGCGCTCATGATACTTAAAATGTTAGACGCGTCCATGACGCCCCATGCAGGCGTAGGCAGACGCGCTCACTTTGCTGTGAGACGCAGCGACTCATCATTATTTACAGTGCAGACGTCTCTATAAATACAGCAGCGCGCGGGTCACTCCACAGTCCGCCGCGCGCTCTACGTGTTTGGTCGGTTTAATTCAGGTTTACGTGACGTTTTCTCAGACAATGAAGACCACTATACCACTAATACTACTGACCACTAATATTTAGACTACAAAGACACGTTTATTCGTACTGGAATACGTTTTTCTTCTCAGGAAAAAGTAACAAGACTCTTAGGACTAAACAGATGATGGGAGTCTGATATCGCCTTTCGATCCTGAAGGACTGTGTCAAAGGAGTGTGTGTGTTTTTTTTTTTTTTTGGTTAAAGATATAAGATGAAGGTTTTCAGGTGAGGTGATCCAGTCTTGGATAATCTAAAAAGCGTCTCAAATGATAAATATTTCTCTTTATTTTCTTTTTCATTTTGCATTGAAATTATTTGTGTCAAATAGATTTGTGCTATTTATATATATTTGATAGGTGACAGAACAAATAAAATATTAAAGTAGCAGAAAAAAGTCAAAGGTAAAGTGTACAGTTATTCAAATTGCTGCGATTATAAATCTGAAACGTTTTAAACCGCAATACAATGCAAATATGTTTATATATATATATATATATATATATATATATATATATATATATATATCTATATTTTTTTTTTTTTTTTTTTGATAGGTGACAGAACAAATAAAATATTAAAGTAGCAGAAAAAAGTCAAAGGTAAAGTGTACAGTTATTCAAATTGCTGCGATTATAAATCTGAAACGTTTTAAACCGCAATACAATGCAAATATGTTTATATATATATATATATATATATATATATATGCGTAGGCAGACGCGCTCACTTTGCTGGGATATCTCTGTGTGTGTGTGTTAATTTAGACATTTTTAGGTTTCCTGGCAAAGCGTTTTACATTTGTTAAACATTACTTGTACTTTTTTGCTTTTTTATCTGTTTTTATCTTCTTTCTAGGCTGTCTCTGTATCTCCAAACAGTTGTTTAGTTCTTCTTAATACAGTGGTGAATGGTCAGAAGTGTTGAAAATTTGTACTGCACTTTTTTTGGTGCTTTCTCATGTACCCTAGAGAGGAAATTGTGCAAAAACAATGTTCCTATTCACTAAAGTTTTCTGAAAGGTGTGTCAGTGTATCATTTCAGACCTCTGGACATAAGGTCCCTCAATGAATGTTTGTGCATATACAAGCAAAAAATACAGGAAGGAAAGTAATCACTTGCTTGTTAACTGATTAAATTGTCCCAAATGGATGAACTTTGTGGCCAAAATAAGCAGTATTCCTATTTTTACATATTTGATTGCAGGTTGTTTGCTAATTAAAGATTCTTAAATGCCCTGTTTTCTTAAGCGCACTTATATGCTTTTTTCTCTATAGATATGTGTCTCTAAGCTCAATGGTGCTCGTCCCATAGCCTGGAGATGTTAGCTGTCCAACACTGCAACAATTCAGCCCTGGATGTGGATGAAGGCTTCAGCAATCAGACCCAGCAGGTGCTTGGAGTGGCACCGGTGCGCTGTAGGGAAAACCTGAACACCACAACCAACCCCATGGCAGCGGGCCTGTCCATGACCCTGGGGATCGTTTCCAACATCATAGCGCTGATCATCCTGGCTAAAGCGTATGCTCATCTGCGGAAGCGCTCGAAAGCCACGTTCCTCCTGTTCGCCAGTTCTCTGGTGGCTACGGACCTTGCCGGTCATGTTATTCCAGGTGCTCTGGTTCTGCGGCTCTACATTTCTGGCACCGCCGGAGGACTTTGTAACCAATCCGACGCCACCTGCCATTTCCTGGGCGGCAGCATGGTGTTCTTCGGCCTGTGCCCGCTGTTTCTCGGATGCGTCATGGCGGCAGAGCGGTGCATGGGCGTGACGCGGCCCCTCCTGCATGCCCGTATGGTTTGTACAGCCCACACCAAGATAGTGCTGGTGATGATATGGCTGTTGGCTTTATCTGTAGCACTGTTGCCCTTCTTTCACCTGGGCACATACATCTACCAGTTCCCAGGGACCTGGTGCTTCATTAATGTGTTGGACAATACCAGCATCACAGACGTGATATTTGTGCTGCTGTTTTCCGGACTGGGACTGGCCGCACTGGCCATGGCATTGGTCTGCAACACCATCAGCGGGGTGACGCTGGTGATCGCCCGTCTGCGCAAGAAGAAGTGCCACCAAAGATCAGCTAAATCACATGACATTGAGATGGTGGCACAGCTGGTGGGCATTATGGTCACTTCTTGCATCTGCTGGTGCCCTCTGCTGGTGAGTATGACCATTACAATCTAACCATTTCACTTAAAGGGGTCATATGACGTTGCTAAAAAATAACATTATGTTGTGTATTTGGTGTAATGCAATGTGTTTATGCGGTTTAAGGTTAAAAAAACACATTATTTTCCACATAATGTACATTATTGTTGCTCCGCTATGCCCCGCCTTTCTGAAACGCATCGATTTTTACAAAGCTCATCGGTCTGAAAAGCGAGGTGTGCTCTGATTGGCCAGCTATCCAGTGCATTGTGATTGGCCAAATACCTCAAGCGTGTGAC